AGGGGTGATCTTAATTCTTCCTGGATCAGTGATATTCGCCGTCGAAATGCGAGCTGTAAAGGGAGTAGTTCGTGTCTGTTCGAGTACTTTGTCAATTTCGGGTGCTTTGCTGATCGGCCGATGCATCTGTGATTGAACATCCTTCAGATTAGCAGTAGCTCGGTCCATATCAGCCCTCATAGCAGCCATCTCGTCTCTTTGGGCTTGGACCAAAATCCTTCTTTCTTCGTCGAGCTGGGCTCTGTGCGCCCAGCGGATGTTTTCTTCCTCGTCTGCGAATTCAAGATCGAAGCTGTCTTGCCGAGCTTGAGTTCGCCCTTCTCTAGGGATGCCTTGTTCTTGCGAATTGCGCTCGCCGTTCGAATCATCTTCCAAGTTGATCACCGGTGGAGTTCTGTTTGTTGGTCCGCTCGCCGTTGCGCTCGGCTCACCAGTACCGGATGCCGGATCCGTTGGTTGTAGCTCGGGGATTCCCTGCGCACCACCTGGCGTGGAGAAGTTCAGCATTGTGGGTTCGATGCGCGACGCGTATCGTAGGACCTGGCCTGTTCTTCCTCCTCGAGCTCGGCTGGCCGCTGCCGAGGCTCTTCGCTCGTTGTTCATCGCCGCGATGCGCGCATCTTGTTCTGCCGATTTTTTGAGAAGTAATTCCATCATCGCCTTCATCTCGTTCAGGAATTCTGGCGTCGCGGCCGTCGCCCCAGCGGCTTGGTTCAGACCAGTGTTGTCTGTAGCGTTTTTGTCGTGACTAGGGTCGTCACCGCCGCTCTGATCTTGGGGGCGAGTGTTGTTGACGTCGCTCCGATCCTGCGGGCCGACGTCGTCGGTGGCGTTCTCCCAGCCAGTGGAGTTAACGATATTGCCGCTGGTAGTCATCTTCGTTGGGTCGCTTGTCGAGTGGTTCTTTTCGTGTAAGAAAATCTCAAGAAGTCCCCTTAGACGGCMCCAAATTGTGGTAGGTGAAACCAACACAATTGAATTTGTAAGGGTTTTTAGAGGAAAGCTGAGATCTCTGAGTCAGAACCACCAGAACAAGATGAATTTGCTGTTTAAGAGAAAGCTTTATTAATTTGTCTAGAATAATTTTGCAGTCCGTCCTCTCTTTCAGAGGAATTACAAGAGTATATATACAAGTTTAAGTCGGCTAGGCCAAAACCTACAGAGATAAGGAAAGATCCCTATTTTCTTGGGATTTCCTATTATCGAAGTCGGTCTCGTCTTGGGCTTCGTCCGCGTGGGCTCTAGGCCCGTCGCATACTACTCTTGGGCTTGACCTCTTCGTCTTGTGTTTTGGGCCTTGTCACCGTTCGGCTCGCCTATTCGTCATTCAACTTATCTACCAAAACAGGTTGTCTTCTAATCAGCTCTCCAATTAAACAATCAGGTCGGCTCGCCACTAAAACGTTGACTTAGTCAGCTCGCCACCAAATCGTTGACTTGGTCAGCTCGCCACTAATTTGTTGACTTAGCCATTTTAGCTGTAATTTCAGTCGAGGGGAGTTTTGACCCCAACAC